TTTGATAGCCGGACACCATCAGCTTTCTTTACCAAGGGCTTTGATTTTTGACTTCTGACCTCCAGAACTGTGAGATAATAAATTTCTGTTGTTTTAAGCCACCAAGTTTGTGGTAACTTGTTAAACCAGCCATAAGAAGCCAATAGTATTTTTGCCCTCTGAAGTACAGAGTATTCTATTATAACCTCTTATTTATAACTAGTCATTGCTAAAATGACTTAAAAGCAATGCTGTTTGTATTTGTTTCTACTGCTAAATTTAGCAGCTTAAAACAACATACACATATTATCTCCCAGTTTCCATGGGTCAGCAGTTCAAACACAGCTTAGCTGAGTCATCTACTCAGGCTGTCACAAGGCTGCAGTCAAGGTGTCAGCCAGGGCTGAGAGCTGTCTTTCAAGATCACCACTTCATTTATTTGCAGCTGATAAAAAAGTGCTATCTTACGTCTCCAAAATCAGAAGCAGTCTTTCCTTTCGGTTAGGGCCTAGTGCCTCTTTTAAGGACTTGCATCTGATTAAGTCAGGGCTGCCCTGACTTAATTAATCAAAATCTACCTTTTGATTAATTTAAAGTCAATTAAAAAACTGATTTGGGCCCCTAATTAACATGAAAAACTCTCCTTTGTCATAGATCTGGGCAGTGTCATATTCACAGATAATATTCACACTCAAGAGAAAGAGATTCTGTCACATGTACACCAGGGGTGGGACTCTTGGGGGCCTTCTTAGCATTCTGCCTTTTATACTGCCTTTAATAGCAGTATGATTCCCCGCTTAAAATGAGATGTTAGTTTCAGTTCTGACATGGCTGTTACTATTTAGGAAGTCTAATGTGGAATTGTTTGAAAATGTTTTGAAAAGTAAACAAATAGATCAAGGGGAAGATCTAAGACAGTTGACGAAAGTTGAGATCAGATTATTGCTTTTACAGTAAAAGAGCATAGATCCTAGCAACATGTTTTCAAGAATGATAGGATTTTGGTTTGTGTGATATTGATCCTCTAAGAAGGCTCAGCAGGGAACTGGGGTAGGGGCAAGACCTTACCTGGTTTTCTTAGCTTGCTTCTAATCAGTACTGCTACACGAAGTCTGTCTAGGAAACTTTCTGGACTTTGTATTCCATACATAGTTTTAGATTTGGATGTCAAATAGTCGTTTGCTTTTTTGTCGTAGATCTAAATAGCTGTAGAGTGACGTAACATACATTTGGGTGGTTTCTGTTCTGTAGATCCTTCAGTATGACATGTGGAATGTGACTCCTACCGACCTGTGGGACTGGAAACTTCTCAAAGAGAAGATCGCAAAGTAAGTGAAGAGCTATAAAGGAGCTCTGAGGTCAGGAGGGTTTGGGCTTTTATCCTGGTTCTTTGGATGCTAGGTGTTATTTTAGCTTTTGAGACTTATTTGTCTTCTAGTGGGCCCGGATTTATCTCAGATGGCTAATTTTGTAAGAATACATTGCTCTGCATGAGCCCATAGATACAGAATAGCAGGAATAACATGCTCATTGTCTTGGAGAATTTTTTCTTTTTTCAATGACTTTTCATTGTGAAGGTTCACGAAGCAAATCATCAGGCTTTGTCTTTGAGAAGTTTAAGACTAAGTAAGATCTGTAGTGCAGGGAGTGACGGCCTTCATCAACTCTATCGGATACATAAAAGTACACTTGTATTTGAAGCTGCCTGCCTGGTCAGGAACAATGCTATATAGAGAGATAAGGGTATCTCTCAGGATGAGCTTTGTAGGATAAGCTGAGGCAGTTTGAAGATTTGCTCATTATCTCAGACAGTGTTTTCTTCCTTAAGCACCCTCTTCAGTACTGAATAAGTTAAACCTAAGAACTTAAAATTGAAGAGGTGACAGAGGAAATCAGACAGATGCCCTATTCACAGGATAATGAAGAATCGTGACAGTGTGTGTCAGATTCTGATTGTTTTCACATCATTATGTTTCCTGAAGGGGTCTAGCAGAGTGATCTCTTTGGAAAGAGTGAGGGTGCGATGTGTGTGCCTTGACAAGTGGGGAACTCTTCTAAAGAGATTTGAGAGCCTCCCTGGGCAAGACAATGAACGAAGCACTACGGTACCAAGTGCTGCGCTACAGTGCACGCAGTGTAGGCTGTGCTATGGTGAGGACTTCCCACATAAAAATTGTGCTCATTCGATTCGGGGAGTTGGCATTTGAGAATGGGAGCTTTATCAGCCATAGTATGGGATTGCATCCCTCGAGTGTGACGTTCTAAAGTTGTCCCGTGACTCAAAAATACATGTGTGATGCCCCAGCACCTGCACTGACTCCAATTACCTAAAGCAGCTGCCTTGCTGATTGACTGTAGCCGTATGACCAGCACCGACTAATCTCCTTTTCTCTAGGTATGGTGTGAGAAACAGTCTGCTTATTGCCCCGATGCCTACTGCTTCCACTGCTCAGATACTGGGGAATAATGAGTCCATTGAACCTTATACCAGCAACATCTACACTCGCAGAGTCTTGTCAGGAGAATTTCAGGTGAGATAAGAGAATCTGATGCTAGCAGCAAATGCTCACACGGGGTTAGGATGCCCTCCTTTTCTTGACTTGGAGGCAAATCTGGTGATAAAATGAGTTATTTCATCTCTAATGTTCTCCTATATTATTTTATTACTTATCAAACAAACACACTCACTCATTGCCATTGAGTCAGTGCCGACTCACAGTGACCCTCTGGGACCAGGGTAGAGCTGCCCCTGTGGGTTTCAGAGACTTACTCTTTGCAGGAGTAGAAAGCTCCATCTTTCTCCCTCAGTACATTATAAGCATATACTGTCTGTTGAAAATGAATGATTTGGGATTGAGTATGAAAGAAGCTTAATAATAAAGTTCACGTGCTATTTAGCCAGTCTATAATTGTCATGATCTATATACTACTTTAGATGCTTAAGTAGGTGATAAGAAGTGATTATCATTCAGAATTTATTGTAGATTGAACCAGTGCTGGGTTTTTGTTTGTTCTTTTTGTTTTTAAGGTCCTCTGATGACTATTCTGGGATTAGGGACCACACATTTAAAAGCATTTTAATTACAAATTTCCGGATAGTGTGGAATAAACGTTTTATAAGGCTTGGCCAGGATACAGTTCATGTCGTATGCATTGGACTGTTAACCGCAAGGTAGCAGTTTAAAGCCACCCGCAGCTCCTCGGGAGAAAGCTGAGGTTTTTTACTCCATAAACAGTTGCAGTTTTACCCTGTACTATAGGGGTCAAAATTTGACTCGATGGCAGTTTTTCACTTAAAAATTAAAAGCAAAACAAAACCATCTATTTATTAGGTTTTTCTAACTCGATAGGTGCTATTGAGTTGGTTGCGACTCATTGTGCTACATGCCCTTGAGTCAGTTCAGACCCACGCAACCCTGTGTTCAACAGAACAACACAACCCTGTCCTGGTCCATCCTCACAGTTAAGCTTTAACCTATTGTTGCAGCCACTCTGTCAGTCCATATTCAGTCAAGAGTCCTTCGCCAGTGGCTGGTCCCTCCTGACATGCCTCAAGGACAGGAGATGAAGTCTCGCCATCCTTGCTTCTCAGCATTCTGTCTGTTGGTGCTTCTTCCGACACGGATGTGTTTGTTCTCCTGGCGGTCATGGCGTATTTACTGTTCTTTACCTACACTTACTTACCCAGTTTGGGCAGTGTTGATCCTCGTCACTTGCAAATGCCGTGTTAGATTTCTTGAATAACAAAATATCAAGCTCTTAAAGGACTTTAGTTTTTGTTTTGTTAGTTAGAACTTTCATTTTTATGAAAAACAGTATTTATCAAACAATAAGTGTATTTTAAGCCTCAGGCCTGTGATTCTGGGTAAGTCTTTGTTATTAACTGTTTCTCATCATTTCTGTCTTTCCATTCAGATTGTGAATCCCCACTTACTGAAAGATCTTACTGAGCGGGGCTTGTGGAATGAAGAGATGAAAAACCAGATTATTGCATGCAATGGCTCTATCCAGGTACAGGATGAAAAGGAGTTACCGTCAGCATGAGGTGGACAATGCAGTGCATCCTCATTGGGGCGGGCAGTGGAGAGAGAAAGTGGCTGTTCAGTGTGGTAGTAGTACCTAAGCATTGTTTGGCTAGGACAGTACACAAATTCAGGTAGCCTTTTCTTTCTGTTGCTTGTGCACTAATACAAAGCAGTGGTTCCCGACTTTTCTGCCTGCAAGTAGGAGCCAGGCATCAGTATTTTTTAACAATTCCGTAGATGGCTTGAAAGGGAATAAGGTTTGAAGACTGCTGGTATAAAATCTGAAATTAGATGTCGGACTTAAACTAACAAGCACACAGTAGAGGTTGAGGGCTCATAACCCAAAAGACACTCACAGATGTGTTTAACAATAAGTTATTTGCGGTTGAGACTCAAGACTCAAGTTGTAGATAGAGGTGAGGCTTCTGGCTAAACCTTGGGGTGCTTGGGAGCGCAGATTCTTGTTCTGCTGACTGGAACTGTAGCTTTAGCCCTGTTTTAATGCAAGTTACCTTAGACCTAAGAAAGCCTGTTTTACTGATTCCAAATTGAGTCAGTAGAGTTAAAGGACTTTGTCTCATTGCATTCCTTGGCCATATCCCTGTGAGTTGTAGCCCTGATTATTTGTATTTTCCGCAAAACATAAGGGTCTTTTTTTTTTTTTGCTGCTTGATTCTGACTCTTCTTTCCTCTTCATTATTTCTAAACCATGCCAGAAATCAGTTAAACATGGATACTTTTGTCACACCACCAGAGTGATACTTCGTTTCTAAACCAGAGGCAAATCTGAGAAAAGCACCATGTTACAGGATACTGAATCGCAGGGTCAGATCTGGCTGGAAGTAGAACCAAGGCTGGAACCTTGGGTCTTTATTCCGTTAATTGTGCTGCTTTCTTTAAAAGCAATGGAGTGATACCCATTTGTTTTCCCTTCTTCAGAGCATACCTGAGATTCCGGATGACCTGAAGCAACTCTATAAGACCGTGTGGGAAATTTCTCAGAAAACCGTACTCAAGATGGCAGCGGAGAGGGGGGCTTTCATCGATCAAAGCCAGTCCCTGAACATACATATTGCTGAGCCTAACTATGGCAAGCTTACCAGTATGCACTTCTACGGCTGGAAGCAGGTTGGTGGCGGAAATCTAGCTACCTATTAAATGTTGATCCAATATCTTAAAGTCAGGCCATTTTGTTTTATTTAGGATTAAATCATTCCTAGGCTTGAAACCTTGGGTTTACCTATGATCCTCTTTTTCCTTTATTCTCCATAAGTTACTCATCAAGTTGTGTTGTTTTTTTCTTCATTCAATTTCTCCAATTTCTTCCTTCCTATTTCTCTGCTGTTATTCTTAAGTGATCTTTCTTATCCTTGACGTACTCGGTCTGTTGTTATACAGACACATGGTCTAACTTTCTGAATAGTTCATAATCTAAGACAGACATGTTAAACTTTGGCCAGGTTAGAAGTCATATGCATATAAACAAAATAGAGACTAGAGGGGAGGAAAAAGGAGACCTTCCCAAGTAGAGAAAGCCTATATTAGGGGTAACAGCTGTGTAATTTGCACACTCTGGGCATTTTTGACAGAGATTAAAGTTTCAGGTTTAGAAGCGAGTTTAAGCTGGTTTATGAGACTTATTTAATCATTCATCTTGAGTGTCTAGTAGTTGTACAAATTATTTCTCCTGATGGTTGTTTTTGCTTCCCTTGTAGGGTTTGAAGACTGGGATGTATTATTTGAGGACAAGACCAGCGGCTAATCCAATCCAATTCACTCTGAATAAGGAGAAGTTGAAAGATAAGGAGAAGTCATCGAAAGAAGAAGAAGAAAAGGAGAGAAATACAGCAGCCATGGTGTGTTCTCTGGAGAACAGAGATGAGTGTCTGATGTGTGGATCCTGAGAAGAAGGGCCCAGACGAGACCGACACTTCTTCGCTCATAGATGAGTACTTGAGGTGGTTTGGCTGGACTTTATGACAGAAAAACAATAAAGATTTTATTGTTAAAAAATCATTTTATTGAAGCCTCGTAAAACTTATCATAATCCATAAATACATCCATTTTGTCGAGCACAT